CAGGACAGCCCCAGAGCTATTACACAGAGAAACCCTGTCTTGCACATCCCGTCCTCCAGTCCCCTCCCCCAAAAGAGAGGCTTGGATGTGGGTTTGAAGCCTGGGGCTGGTTAAAGGTAGGGGTGTTGGTGTTTGTATATACAGACGGGAGAGTCTTTAAGTGTAATGGAAAGGGGTTCTGGGGGGTGGGGGAGTGTACAAATGGAGGCTGGAGAAAGGAGAAGGAGGGACATAGGGGTATTTTAGGAGCTGTTGTCGGGGTAGAAGTCAAATTTTCAAATTTTATGTGAATTTGGGAAAGGGTATCTGTTTTTTGTTTGTTTGATTTTTTTTTTGTTTTTTTTTTTGTTTTTTGTTTTTTTTTTTTTGAGACAGGGTTTCTCTGTGTAGCTTTGGAAGCTGTCTGGAACTAACTCTTGTAGATCAGGCTGGTCTTGAACTCATAGAGATCCGCCTGCCTCTGCCTCCAGAGTGCTGGGATTAAAGGCATGCACCACCACCGCCGGCAGGTATCTCTTTCTAAGGGAATGGGGAGAAATGAGTGGGAAAAGGAAAGACCGGGCACAGTGCCACATGCCTGTAATTCCAACACTTGAATTGATGAGGCAGGAGGATCAGGAGTTCAAGGCCAGTCATAGCTCCTCTGAGTCTGAGATAGGAAAGCCTGTCAAGTCAAAAAAAACCAAAACCAAAAAAGGCCTGTAGAGATGGCTCAGTAGTTAAGAGCATATACCACTCTTCCAGAGGTCCTGAGATCAATTCTCAACACCCATATTACATAGACCATGACTCCAGGGGTATCTGATGCCTCAGGCACCTGTACACATACATCCACACACAAACACATTACACATGATTAAAACAAAATAAATAAATAAATAAATAAATCTTGGCTCCAAGGGCTCTTCGAGCCTGTGTAGAGCGCCCGCTCCCTTTCTGTCTCCCCTGCCGCCATGGCGTCCATGAAAAAGCCTATGGCGAGGAGAGGCAAAAAAAAAAAAAAAAAAAAAAAAAAAAGAAGAAGCAGGTTTTGAAGTTCACCCTTGACTGCACCCACCCTGTAGAAGATGGGATCATGGACACTGCCAATTTCGAGCTGTTCCTCCAGGAGAGAATCAAGGTGAACAGGAAAGCTGGGAATCTGGAGGGGTTGTGACCATCGAACAGAGCAAGAGCAAGATCACGGTCACTTCTGAGGTGTCTTTCTCCAAAAAGTATCTGAAATATCTCACCAAGAAATACCTGAAGAAGAACAGGGTGTGAGCTGTTGCCAACAGCAAAGAGGGCTATGAGATGCACTACTTCCAGATTAACCAGGACGAGGACGAGGAGGAGGATTAAGATGCATTGGTCTGCTACAAGGATGACAGGAGCTGACAGTCCGGGCAGTGGAGGAGAGGATGGCCTAGAAGCCCCTCCCCTAGAATGAGAGTGATGACTACTCTCTATGCTATCCTAGAGCCCTCATCCAGTGGCTGATGGAAGCAGAGACAGACATCCACAGAAATACACTGAGCTGAAATCTGGAACCTAGTTGTAGAGAGGGAGGAATGAAGATCGAAGGGGTCTGTACCAGGTTGGAGAAACCCACAGAAACAGTTGGCCTGTAAAAGGGAAAGCACATCGACCCCAGACGCTGTCTGAGAGGCTAGTGCGGGACTAATCCAGCCCCCTGATCATGGATGCCAATAAGGAGGCCCCTGCACTCCGGGGAGCCTCCAGAGGTGGACTGGCATGTACACTCTTTTTTTTTTTAAGATTTATTCATTGTGTGGGGGAGAAGGGATGGGGGTGAGGGGAGGGAGAGGGGACTTACATGTGAAACAAGCCTGTTCCCTAACTTGAATTAATAAAAAAAAAAAAAGGGAAAAGAAAAAAAAAAAAAAGAAAGCAACCAGTGCATTCTATTCAAAAAACTGATATGTTAGAAACCCATAGAGCCAGGGCTACTTCTTTGCTGTGGGATCTACTCCAAAAACTATGTGGTCTTCACCCTGACCTCACTCCACTATATACCACAAGCCCCCTTCTAAGTTGTGACAATCTGAGTGGCCTCCAGATGTTGCCAGATATCCCCAGGGAGCAAAGTCACCCTGGTTGAGAAGCACTGCTGAAGAGTAATACAAAACTATAAATGTCTCAATGATCTGATGAGGATGTCCTTCTGTGTATATGTTTCTCTTATTGGTTGATGAATAAAATACTGTGTGGCTAGTGGCCAGGCAGGAAGGATAGGCGGGGCTACCAGAGGAGGAAAATTCTGGGAAGTGTAGGCAGAGAGAAGAAGAAAAAAAAAAAAGATGCATTGGTCTGCAATGTTTTGTATCAATTCATAAATAAAATTTAGGAACAAAAAATAAAAATAAAAATAAATCTTTAGAAAAACAATGAAAAACCTAGAACTCTTTGTCAGGCTTGGCAGAGCTTCAGTAGATAAAAGTATTTGCTATGCAGAGCCAGTGACCTGAGTTCAGTCCTTGGGCCCAAGATGGAAGGGCCAACCCCTGAAAGCTGTCTGTCCTCTGAGCTCTACATGCACACATACACAGTATGTATATGTGACTATATGTATCATATATAAATATATATGATAGCTATATATATATCTATATATATATGGTAGCTATATATATGGTAGCTATATATAGATATAGATATAGATATATAGATATAGATATGGTGTATATATATTCCATGTAAAAGTGGGGAGAGAACAAACTTTACAAGGTTATTCTCTTATCTACCCATGCACACACTACACATAAAATATATTTTTTAAAGGCAAGGTTTGGTGGTATATAACTTTAATTTCAGCATTTGGGAGGCAGAGGCAGTTGAATTTCTGTAAGTTCTGTAAGTTCAAAGCCAGCCTGCTCTACAGAGTGAGTTCCAGGCCAGCCAGGGCTACACAGTGAAATCATTTTTGAAAGCTGTGTATGTACTACGGGGTTCATGGTAGGATCAGAGGACGACTCTCAGAAGTTGACTTTCCACATCCACCACGTGGTCTGGGGCATTGAACTCAGGTCATCAGGTTTGGTGGCAAGTGCTTTGTCCACTGAGCCATCTCTATGGCCCTCCATTTTAGAATAAGTCTCACTGAGTTGGAACTTGCTAATTAGGCTAGACTGGAAGGTCAGCCAGCCCTAGAAACCCTCCCTCAGCCTTCCCAGAGCTGGGACTCAGGCACATGCCGCCACACTCAGGGGTGTGTGTGTGCATGTGTGTGTGCATGTGTGTGTGCATTGCATGTGTGCATTGTGCATGTGTGCATGCGTGTGTGCATGTGTGTGCATGTGTGTGCATGTGTGTGTTGGGGGAGCCATGTGGAGGTCAGCCTTCAGCCTTCAGATGTCAGCCCTTACCTTTCTGCTTCCGAGGCAGGATCACTCTGCTGCTTCATAAACCTGGCGCTGGCTCTGGAGCCATTGGAGGGTCTCTTGTTTCCATGTCCCATTTCCCTAAAGGTGCCAGTGAGATTACAAATGCTCTCACAGGAGTGCGGGGATCTGAACTCAGGTCCTCAGGCTTGCAGAGCATAGACCTTTACCCACCAAGCACTTGCTTGTGGGTGCTGGGGACCTAGCTTAGGTCCTCATGGGTCACATGGACTGAGGCATCTCCCAGCCTCCTCCTTCCCTCCTTCTGTATTCCTTACCTTCCTTTGGTTTTTACTATGTATCTCAGGTTGTCTTAGCCTCCCAAATGCTGGCATTACAGCTGTGAGACATCCTGCCTGGCAGAATTCATTGTAGTGTCTTAGAAATCCCCAGTTGTGCTGACTAGGTGTTTTTTGTTTGTTTTTTGTTTTTGTTTTTTTGTCGACTTGACACAAGCAAGAGTCATCTGAGAGTAGGGAACCTCTATTGAGAAAATGCCTCCATTAGATCAGGCTGTAGGTAAGCCTGTAGAGCATCTTCTTAGTGATTAGTGGGAAGAACCCAGCCCATGGTGGGTGGTGCCATCCCTGGCTGGTGGTCCTGGGTTCTATAAGAAAGCAGACTGAGCAAGCCATAGGAAGCAAGCCAGTAAGCAGCTCCCCTCCACCGCCTCTGCACCAGCTCCAGCCCCCAGGTTCCTTCCTAGTTTGACTTCCTGTCCTGGCTTCCTTCATTGATGGACCACGATGTATTAAGTGTGAGCCATAGACCCTTTCCTCCCCAACTTGCTTTTGGTCAGCAGCAATAGTCACCCTGACTAAGACACCAAGCATCAGAAAGTTATTGGAAAATGTAATTGCTTTGGTGTCAATTTAGTCTTAATTTGCCCCCTGTGACAGATGACTAACTGGGAGATTCGAGAGACAAAACCTCGCTTCTTATGTACTCTTCTCCCCTTCCCCACTTCCTCCAAGCCTGGGACATTAGAACTCTCATTATTAGAATATTAAAATTCTCATTCTCCAGCTGTTTAGTTGTGCCATCTCACAGACAAGGTAGATGACCGAGGACAAGGATCGACAGACAGGGTCGGTCACCCGAGGCTCTCATTCCAAATAGGGTCAGATCCCTTACTTTTTGTGAGGGCAGCCAGGAAGAGCTCAGAACATAAAGGCTATTCTTAGACTCAGAACTTGGGAAAGTTGACAGAGTGTGTGTCAGATTCAGGCGGAGACTGCCAAACCATCGGAATGGGTGGAAAGGCAAAGAATGACCACCGGCTACCCTCGACACCAGCTGACTCTCAACTCAGAGTAGCGGCTCTGCATGACGTCACTCCACAGGCTCTCCAATCCCACGTGGGAGGAGCCGTTGCTACCACCTCTTTAAGTGGGACGCCACGCCCTGTTCTTTCTCGGACCAGTCAAATGCTGTCTTTTGGTTTCTTTCCTCCTTTTCCCGCCATCCAGCCCGCCCATCTTGACCCGCTGGTCCAATCACGGAGGTCCTGTCACCCCAAGCCCCCTGGCTTCCCAGGTCTACGCGGCCGGCGCGAACCAACCCCAGCGGGCAGGGGCGTGGCGTAGCTTGAGGTCCCCCCGGAGCACTATTTTGCAGCGGGGAGCTGGCCCAGACGCCAGTCAGTCGGGAGGGTGCTGCGAGAGGCCGGCCGCCCCATGGAGCGCCCCCCTGGAGAAGAGGGCGCTGGCTCCGCGCCCGAGGAGCAGCCCCCTGCCACCGACCCCACGGGGGGCCCGGGCTCCGGGGTCCCTCCTGCCGGCCCTGGGGCGGCGAGCGAGGCCCTGGCGGTGCTGACTTCCTTCGGGCGGCGCTTGTTGGTGCTGGTGCCCGTGTACCTGGCCGGGGCAGCGGGTCTCAGCGTGGGCTTCGTGCTGTTCGGCCTCGCCCTCTACCTGGGCTGGCGCCGGGTCCGCGATGGGAAGGAGCGGAGCCTGCGGGCGGCGAGGCAGCTGCTGGATGACGAGGAGCGGATCACGGCCAGAACGCTTTATATGAGCCACCGGGAATTACCTGCCTGGGTGAGTTGCCACTTCGGTCCTTGGTGCAGTAGAGCTCTTTCCTAGTCCTTCAGCCCGGGATCTCCCTCCTTGTGAAGCCAGCTCCCCGCTCGGG